TTGTGAACCACAGACCTGGCATTTAGCAACAACAGCCTGAGACCAGGGTCCTGACAACTCTCGCCATCGGGTCCTGGAGTGGGGCTAACAGGGCCAGAAGGCGGGATCGCTGTGACGTAGCGGACCCTCCTTCCCCGGTAATGGCTAGCCCTGAAGCTCTCGTCGTACCTGCCCCTTATGCAGCTATTGCTGTGGATCTGTGTTACTTTATGCTGCTTGCTTCATTGTTCTTTCACATTTGTGAAGACAACTATAGCATAAATGTACAAATACAATCAATAGTCTGAAAAGCAGAGGTATTCCAAGAAGAAACAAAGCATCGGTCTATGCATGTACACACAAACAAATTCATGCAACATAGTACATAGAAATACTGTGAAGACGACTTCCAGTGTAGCCTGAAGAAGCTGCTCTTTGAAGTAGCTCCAGCCCTGAGATCGCCTTACACTGTTTGGAGTATATATCAGCTGTCTGACAGATTGATAACCCTTTCCTCGGGCAAAGAGGAAAGGGGAGAGCTGCTGAATTTGGGGAGAGCTCCATTACCCCCCCCAGGAGATAATTCTGGGATGTGGAAAGTGTGAGCCCCCTGCAACTCGGCAAACGCCGCACCCAGGACTCATTCTACCTTTCTGCAGAAACCAAGGCTCACAATCATCCCTGCATAACAATGTTTGATTTACATCTGAGCAAAAAGCAGGCAGAGCAGATACCGGAGAAGTTACAACTGTATGTATATATAAACTATAACTCCATTTTCTAAAAATTCCTTCTATTAAAACTAATGAGGCAGAAGATAAAATGGCACCGGAGTCTTGAAGGCGGGGCTGAGTTGCAATTTAACAAACTACTACAGAGCTTAAAATCACTTAAAACAGCATTGATTTCTTAGCAAGCTACAAGAGTAATAAGCGGCTTGTTTGGACTTAATAATTTGGTGGAAGATAAGCTTAACTGAAGGTTAGAAATGGCTTTCTAACAAGTTAACAAGTTAAACAAGTTAAAACAACAATGGCCTCTAAAAGTGCTGGACTCTCTCCAGCCCCGACAAATAAATTACAGTCATTACTATCCCCCCCTCCTCCTCCTGCTGGAGAAGCCTTAACCCAAGAGGTGCTGCAAAGAGTTTTAAATGATGCTTTAAAAGACCATGCATCTGCTTTAGAACTTAAAATACAGGAAAAGGCTGCTTTCAAGGAGGTCTTGGAGGAGATTTTGGAGATGAAAGACTTAATTCAGATTCATAACCAAGAGATCAGAGAAGATATTGTGGAAACTTTTAAATGCTTATTGGCTACGTATCCCTATTGGATGAAAAAGTGGAAGAAGTTAATGAGTCTAATGTTAATTTAGCAAATAAAATGGAGGAAGTCCAAAACAAGGTTCACGATGCAGAAAATGAAATCACAATGCTACAATATAGGCATATGGAACTTGCTCTGAGAATAAGAGGCCTTAAAGAGAATAATCAAGAAAACCTGAAGGAGATTCTTTCAGAAGCCTTTGATCAATTAGTAGGTCAACGGAGAGTGGACTATGACTGGCAAATAGACAAAATATACCATGTTAATTCATGGATTGCCAGACAGAAACAACTACCAAGAGATATTGTAGTCTACTTTGCCACAAGGAACATAAGGAACCTGATACTACAAGAGTCCTATAAAACCAAGTTGCAGATTGCGGGCCAGGAGGTGATATTATTGAAGGAAATTCTACCCAAAATGTTGAGATCTAGAAAAGACTATGCGTTCCTAGTGGACGAACTCAAAAACTGCCAGATACAATACCTCTTGGTAGCCCCAGCCGGATTAGTGGTCAACTACCTG